ATTCTCCTTACTTAATCATGCATCATCATTGTCTAAATATTATGTGCTCAAAGTTTTTTGTTGTTTAGTGTATGTTGCTACCCTCAAACATAGCAGAGCGAAGTTTGACCCTAGGAGTAAAAAATGTATATATCTTGGTTATCAACAGGGATTCAAATGGGATATTCTCTTTGACCTTACAAATAAGAAAATCTTTATCTCTAGAGACACCTATTTCTATGAACATATTTTTCCTTACCCTACCAACTTGTATCTACCTAGCAACACACCTTCACCCATCAATCAATCTTTTCCCCAAGATTATCCTAAAGATAATTATCTCAATTCCTCACCCCACAATGATACAACATCCCCACTAATACAACATCCCCACTAACACAACCCCACCTCTCCAACAAACTCCTACACTTTCCCTTCAAGACAATATCTATAAAAAACACAAATCGGAATCCTCCCCTATCCAAAAATCTAGTCGAATCCATAAACCTCCAACCTAGTTACATGAATACCTTTGTGATCTCTAGAAAGGTAATATCCACTCTACTAACATCAATATTACAGGTAACATTTCTTTTCCCATTCAACATGTTGTTTCTTAAAATAATTTATAAAAATAATCATAAATGCTTTAACCTGTAGTTACTTACACTATGGTTGCATCTGAACCAAAATGGCAACTAGCCATTAGACATGAGCTTAAATCCGTAGATGATAACCACACTTGGTATTTTGTCTCTCTCCCTCCTAACAAAAGATCCATTGCTGTAAATGAATTTTTGAAGTCAAATTTATAGCCAACGGGACCATTGAAAGGTATAAAGCTCGCTTAGCCACTAAGGGTTTTACTCAAACGGAAGGGTTTGACTACCTTGAAACTTTTAATATAATGGTTTTAATGACTACAATTAGACTAATTTTATATATAGTACTATGGATAAGTTAGTTAGTTTGTTTTATCTCTTAGTTTGTTTTGAATAAGTTAGTTTCTTTTCAACCAACTAGCTATTTTGTTGGGCTGATAGTTACTAGTATGATGTATATATATTGGACCTTGTCATCTTAGTAAAGGTCACGTTGAAAATAATATTTAATTTAATTTTTTCATTTTTTGTTTTATCACATGTTTAGATAAACATGGGTTAATACTACGTGTTGTAGCAAATTTCACATAATATTATTAACTAGTTGTTATTTGAGAGCAATTACAGTTTTTTCTCTAATCTTAGAGTTCTATTATGTCTTTGTATTGTGGTTGTGTTCTTTTTCTATGTCAATTTTCCAATATATGAAAAATTGAGACTTGATGTTGGCTTAAGCTTGCATGTGTGATGCAATAAGCTTACAAGTGGAACCTGAGTCTCGACAAGAACTTCTATTTCTTTTGTGTTTGCTTTGCTTATGTGATGTAGCATACTCACATATGAAATCCTATTAGGAATGACAATTTGACTCATCCCTAGTGGACATCCATTAAAATTACCCACAGATAAGGTAAAAATCCACAAAATGGATACGAGTATGGGCACATGCAATTACCCACGAAAATAATCGGGTATGAATACGGGCATAGGCACATGCAATTATGGACGTGGATACGAGTACCTTAGTACCCATTTTGCTCCGAGTACGGATCTGCTCCAGTACCATATATATCCAGTTTTCCAGTCTTTTTTATATATGATCGACATGTGGCAATTATAAGATTAATCGTTGAGATTGAAATCTGGAAAATAAGTAGTATTTTTTATTTAAAACAAAAATAATGAATCCTCATCTATTCTTCTTCTCCGTAAAACTCAATTTCAATTCGTCCAAAAGCACGATCCATCCAAAAACAAAAATTGTCTCCTCACGATTCAAATATTGGTAGTTGACTCGACTCCTTGCTTCTTTGGTGACTTGAAGTTGTTTCAACCCATATTCCAATTTGGATTGATTTGCTGGGAAAAGATTTGGGATTTTTGTAAGATTTTAAATTGAAAATTTTGCATGAAATTGAAGAGTATTATCGATAAATTTGCAAAGTTCTGAGATTTTTGGTTTAATAACTTTTCAAAAAAAGGAAATTCTTTTACCAAAAGAATTGAAAAATAACAGAAAGTTAAAAATTCTCATCAAAATTAACCTTCTTTATGCATTTCAACTTAGGGGTGTTAGTTAAAAAGTATGGTTAAGTGAATTGTATAATTGAATTGAATTACACTATAAAAAAATTGAACCACTTAAATGGTTAATAAATTGAACCATTTAATTAAAATAGTTAAAATTCAGTTTAAAATTGGTTCATAACCAATTTTCTTTTATAAATTGATTTAATTATATATATTAATTAGTTTTTTTTTCAGAAATATGAAAAAGTTGATTTTTTTTAAAATTAAAAAATTTGAGTTTTTTTTTAAATATGAAAAAGTCGAGTTTTTTCAAAAATATGAAAAACTTGATTTTTTTTCATAAATATGAAAAGGTCGAGTTTTTTTGGAAATATGAAAAAGTCGAGTTTTTTCGGAAATATGAAAAAGTAGAGTTTTTTCAGAAATATGAAAAAGTTGAGTTTTCCGGAAATATGAAAAAGTCGAGTTTTTTCCGGAAACATGAAAAAGTCAAGCTTTTTCAGAAATATGAAAAGTCGAGATTTTTCAGAAATATAAAAAAGTCGAGTTTTTTTCAGAAATATGAAAAAGTCGAGTTTTTTTTCCAGAAATATGAAAAAGTCGAGTTTTTTTTTTTGAAAAATAAAAAAGTCAAGTTTTTTCGGAAATATGAAAAAGTCGAGTTTTTTTCCAGAAATATGAAAAAGTCGAGTTTTTTTTTCCAGAAATATGAAAAAGTCGAGTTTTTTTTGAAATATGAAAGGTCAAGGTTTTTCATAAATATGAAAAAGTCAAGTTTTTTCGGAAATATGAAAAAGTCGAGTTTTTTTTCAGAAAAATGAAAAAGTAGAGTTTTTTTTTTCAGAAATATGAAAAGTCGAGTTTTTTTCGGAAATATGAAAAAGTCGAGTTTTTTCACAAATATGAAAAAGTTGAGTTTTCCGGAAATATGAAAAAGTCGGGTTTTTCAGAAATATGAAAAAGTCTAGTTTTTTAACAAATATGAAAATGTCGAGTTTTTTCGGAAATATGAAAAAGTCAATTTTTTTTCGGAAATATGAAAAAGTCGAGTTTTTTGAAAATATGAAAAAGTCAAGTTTTTTTCAAAAATACGAAAAAAATCGAGTTTTTATGGAAATATGAAATTGTAGAGTTTTTTCATAAATATGAAAAAATCCAGTTTTTTCGAAAATATGAAAAAGTCGAGTTTTTTAGAAAATATGAAAAAGTCGAGTTTTTTAGAAAATATGAAAAAGTCGAGTTTTTTCGGAAATATGAAAAAATCGAGTTTTTCCTTAAATATGAAAAAGTTGAGTTTTTTCGAAAATATAAAAAAGTCGAGTTTTTTTTCGAAAATATGATAAGGTTGAGTTTTTTTTTCGGAAATACGAAAAAAAGACGAGTTTTTTTTTCAGAAATATGAAAAAGTCGAGTTTTTTCGTAAATATAAAAAAGTTGAGTTTTTTCGACAATTTGAAATAGTTGAGTTTTCCGAAAATATAAAAAAGTCGAGTTTTTTCATAAATATGTTTCGGAAATATGAACCAAACCATAAATGTGATTCGGTTCAATGCAGTTCATGAACCATGAACACCCTATTTCAACCAAGATAGAACGTCGAAAACATTGTCACCGTAGACTGGCGGCTGCGATGAATATCCTGATCTAGAGGCAAAATTACAGGCATATCTCAAAAACATATAGTCCAAATCGAACGGTGTTTGACAATGGCGAATATATAGTTGAAACAGATGGCGTCGTGTTGTTGCGAGGGGCGAAAAATCCAAATAGAGAATTAGATAAACATTTGGTGTGAATCGGAAAACAAAAGTTATGTGGATTGAAAAGAAAAAAATGAGATGCAGCGTCGTGTTGAAAGGGTAGACAAAAACATGTTTTCTATTAATTTTTAATTAAAAATAAAATTTTAAACTTTAAATCTAAGCCATTAAAAATATGAATGGCCACGTGTCAAAGATCTGTGACATGAATCAGAGAACTGGACTCTTCAAGAAATGGAGCAGATAATGTCCCCTTTCCCCATATCCGCACAACATATATTCATATGTTTTTACTTTTATTATTATATATACATATTAATTTATCAAATTTATTAGATGCATCACTATTATACTTGTACACATTTTAATATAAATTTTTATTTATTTCTTAACTCAACTATATCATTTTTGAATTTTTTTGATATTGTTAAAAAATTTAAATGACATGATAAATTATAAACGATATACTATTTTTTATTAAAAATGCGGATAAATAAATATAAATATGGGTACCCATAAGATACAAGTACAAACAATATACCCATGCAAATATATTATTTTTTTAAACCACGTATATGAGGACAAATTCCAAACTCTGTCCATAGTCATCTCTAAATCTTACACGAGCCTACAAACTAATTAGAGATGTTAAGTATAATAAGTGTGAGTAGTGTGAATAATAGTCTCATATTGGATAGGAGTGTGGTAACTTGAGCATTTATAAGTGGAAGAACGCACACACCTGTCAGCTTAAGATTTTGGGTGAGTATGTGGTGTGTCTCTCATGAAAGTCTTGCTCTAGAAAGAAGAAGTTCCACAATATTCAATACTCCCTAGTGAAAATCTCCCCCCAACAAGAGCAAACATGTTCCAAGACAAAATCATGTGAAAAAGCTGAAGCTCCAAATTGAAGTGTTAGAATAACGTACGTTTAGACAACTTAAAACGTAAAAGTAAAAGAAAACATGCACTAGAGATTTTTTATTATTGATGTTATATATAGTTCGCCAGCTTTGTACAAAGCTTACGTGGCAATAACTATATTTCATCGTTTACTATACAATCATCGACAACTAATTATTTTATGGCATAATTAGTCACTGGGTCCCTTAATTGACATTACAAAATCCTAGTAAACATATAATATTGATGATGGTTGGCTTGAAACAGGCTTGCCACCCTTATGAAGTTTTTTCTTAGTTTTGGGTGGTGGCTGACTTGTAGCCACAGGTGGTGGTGGTTGACTTGTAACAGATTGTGGTGGTGGCTGACTTGTTGCAACAGGTGGTGATGGTTGACTTGTAACAGCTTGTGATGGTGGTTGACTTATTGCAACAGGTGGTGATTGACTTGTATTAGCTTGTGATGGTTGCTGACTTGTTGCATCTTGTACCTGACTTGAACTAGCTTGTGGTTGTGGTAGTTTACAAGTGACCTTGTTGTGACCATCCTTGTGGCAACGACTACACTTTATACCATGTTTTGCCTTCTTTATGTGTGCCTCATCCCTCACCATCTCTCTAGCTTCCCTATTCCTTTTTTTCTTTGGCCTTTCAGCCTGCCTCTTTATTGGTGGTGGCTGAAGATCAACAACACCAGTCTTTGTCCACAAGGCTTCCCCATTAAGTGGATATATCACATGTGCGTAGCAAGCGACATATTGTTCCTTCTTGTAACAGTCAGGTACAAAGTCATAAATTTTCAAATGTTGATCTTTCATGCAAGACATTGCATGACAACAAGGAAGTCCAGTTAACATCCATATTTTACACGAGGATTCTTTCTTGTAAAGGTTGACAACATATTTTTCTTACATGTGGTAGTGAGAGTATGGGCTCCTCAATATGCTCACATGTGGTAGTGAGAGTATGGGTTTCTCATTCTTACCTTATCATTTTTTGTATATTTTAAGTTCCTTCTTGAATCAATGGTGTATGTGTCGCACCTCGAGAAATCATGGAGACATTTCGGAGAAACGAACCTCGCGCGAAAGGCGCGGAAATGCGGTTCGACAGAGTCGCCACCGAACTTTATTTTTCCTGAATAAACGGGAGAGGAAAATATCGAGAAAACCTCTTAAAGCGAAAGGATAGGAACAGGGTTGTCGCAACCAAGTTCCGGGTTTGGGAGTCGGTTACGCGAGGGGAAGGTATTAGCACCCCTCACGTCCGTTGTACTCAACGGGAACCTCTTAAGGTATTTTGTGGAGAGTGTTGTCTAGGTTTGGTTGTTTTTCTTCTTGATGTTTAAGGCGAATTGGTAGGTTAATAGGATAAAGACGCTAAGGAGAGATGGGAGGTTAGAGGATAGGGTGCTCGCCAAGGATTGGGGCCCTTGTGCCTACGTATGCTCATTCGGACGAGAATGAGAAATCAGAGCGTCGTAGTTCAACTACGGGTAAGGTTGGGAAAGTGTGGAAGAAATAATGGAGGAAGATAGAAGTGTGCTCACCAAGATCATCGCAATCTTGTGCCTACGTATCTTATATTCAAGAATGAATAAAGAATCAGAGCAGTCATAGTTCGTGGTAACAACCACGAAAAGATGAGGTTGAATAGGTTGGAAGTTTTGAAATTGAAAGAATGAATTAATAACAACTCAAGGGCACGCCTCGAGAGTTACTCATTCGGATATTCAAAGAATGCTAGATTCTAAGAATTATCCCTCTTTCGTAAGTTTGAAAAAAAACGTTTGTGAAAAGATTGAATCGAAAATGGAATGTAAGGCAAAAGGAGGTTGGTTAGAAAATGTGTCGACGACGTGTCGAGGATTTGATTGAAGATGGAACCGACTTGACGACATGTCAAGGGTTAGAATGCGAGAAACGATACCAGTCCCTAAGGGTGCCCCTAATATCAAAATCACGATGAGTTGTGAATGTGTGTGCAAAATATCGACAGTTGCGAATGCGGACGAGCACTCGACTTAGGAGGACGTTTGAAAATGTTTGAGTTTGGAAAAGTAGAAAGATTGAGTGATAATAACTCAAGAGCGTGCCTCAAGAATTATTCACTCGAAGATCCAAGGAATGCTAGATTCCAAGAACCTCCTTCTTTCGGATTTTTAATCGAGGAAATGTTTTTTAAAAAAAGTCGAAAGATTGAATGAATAATAACTCAAGAGCGTGCCTCGAGAATTATTCACTCGAAGATTCAAGGAATGCTTGATTCCAAGAACCTCCTTCTTTCGGAGTTTGAATTGAGAAAAATGTTGAGAAAATGATTTGAATCGAATCGAGGAGTATGAAAAGAGTTTGTGGTATGATATGACAATAATAATATGTCAAGATAATATTTAACGAAAATTAAAGTTATTGGTTAGTTTAGTGAATCGAATTGGGACACGAAGTAATGGGATCTCATCTTAATCGCAAACATAATGTCGATTAAGCAAAGGTAGCCTATCAAGATCCCAAAGTACGGAAAATGACCCCAATGGTCATTCACCATAGATTTAAAATTGAGAAGGTTATCAACTTCGATACGCGACGCTTACGAATAAAAGACTTCATCGATCGAAATAAAATCGAAAGAAAATCGAAAGAGGAAAGTGGTCTCGGATCCTTTGTTTCACGCCAATAACTTGACAGCTAAACGGCGGTAATCTCGTCATCGACCGCAAAACGAAAATAAGTTAAATCTAAAATTAAAATTTCTCTCAAAACTTAATTAATTAAAAAACTAAATGGAAATAAGATATGAGGGGGGAGCAGACTGGATATAAGGGGGGTGAAGGTGGGAGAGGATCATATGAGCCTAAAGCCCATCACCTCTCCACCCAAAAGTCACGGTTAGAAACAAGGAAAACATGGAAAACCGAATGGACTTATCCAACCCATCAACAGAAGAGGGCAAAGAATGAGAGACCTCCAAGTATCCACCGCCGACATGACCAATCATTAAGTCCTTTCTTTTATATATATAAATAAAATAAAATAAAATAAAATAAATGATAGAAAATTAAATCCATCCTTAATGTTAATTTCAACCCAAAAAAAAAACGAAGCCATGGTATCGACGAAAAAAACTGGATGAAGAAGGTCTAGCGATTCATATCGTTAAAACGTGGATCTAATCGACATCAAAGCATCATCAACCAACCTTCAACTCACGTAATGAGCTTTGCTTACAAACCATTCCGTTCAGGCTTCGATTGGCATCAGGTTCTTTCAAGTTCGGTTTTGGATTTGAATCCCTTTTCTGTCTTTCTGGGTTTGCGGGTTCTATGGGTTTGAAAGGTCACAGTGGGGGTTAGGAGATTTGAGTAATAATGTTAAAAGAAGGTGATTGCGAAAGGAGTTTGGCTTTGTTGATTGAACATTGTAATTGGGTTTTGGTTTTATGGATTAGTTGTTGATGTTTTGGGGTTGAAGGGTAGGTTTTATGAAGTTAAAAGTTGAAGAAGGGTTATGGAGGCGGCTTAAAGAAGGTTTCAGCGGGGAATGGGTTTCAAGCTGCTACGATTTTGGGATTTTTCTATGGTCGGTTTCAGACTAGAGTGATGTTTTGATTGGGGTTTATGAAGAAATTTTGAAGGAGATGGTGGTTAAGAAAGGAGGAGATTTGATGGTGATTTGAAGAAGGTTTGTTGAAACTGATGATCAAGTTTGAAGAGGAGGTTGGGGGTTTGTCGTAAATGAGTTACGGTGGAAGTCTGGACTGAAGATTTGAGAAGTGGAAGAAATTGATGTTGGAAGGTTTAAGCAATGGTGTTTCTGTTGGTATGGTGAAGATTGATTCGAATGAGGTTATAGATGTGTTTGAAGGTTGTTTTTCGGTTGAGTTTCAGAAGAACATTGGTGGTGTTTAAGGATTTGAATTTGAAGGTTAAGGAGATGGGAGATTGATCATTAGAGTTCTGATATTGAAGAAGAGATGAAAGGTTATGGTCTTTTTGGGATTTCAACAATGAAGAAGAAGTTTGAGGGTGAGGAAGAACCGAAGAAGGTTGGTGAGGATTGAAAGTTGAATGGTTTTGCAGTTTATAGGTTGAAGAATAGAGGAGGGTTGATTGAGATATGGAGAATGGTTTTGATGGCGGTGAATGTCTCTGTATTTTAAAGTTTCTAAATATGATGAAGGAGAGTCGACAATGGTAGAAGGAAGTTGTTGGTTTGAGGCTGAGATAGGTTCTTGAAGAAGGGAGTTTTGTGGATATTTTCAGAATGATTTTGAGATCGTCGTTTTGAGGTTCTCAGGTTCCATTTGAAAGGATCTTGTTGGTGATCTTCTCTGTCTCAAGATGGGAGGAGAAACCATGACTTTTTTTGAACAGGTTTGTACATAGCTATTTTTGTGAAATTTTTCATTTGTTTGCTAGCAGATGGCGTGTGGAATCCGCATAGCTGTTCAGTTTTTAAAGCTTGTTGATGGTCTTTAATCCTTTTGCCTTCTATTCTCCTTATTTTCTTTGTTGTAATGCTTTTGTAGGATGTATGGTTAGCATGTTGTGATTTGAATAAAATGGAAAGAAACAAAATACACAAAGCTAGTTCTGTGAATTGCTTTTTTTGCTTTTTCTGCTGTTGTGTGTGTCAGTTTTCGTACAGATCAAGGAAGTAATATGTGAATCATGGCCATTAGAATAGTTTCCTATCACATTTTGATATTGTTTCTTTTATGTTTTTTTTGCAAGAAAGGGCTTTTACAGCTGGCTTTGTACTGCACTCTACAGGTTATGGTTGGGCTCTACTGCTGCTGTGGGTAGACCTGTCCTTTTGCAGGTCATGGCTGGAGGTGTACATTGGCTGGTTGTAGCAGAGTTTGTCTGGTGTGGGTTTTGTGTGGCAGCTGGTCATTTGTGAAGGATTTTTGTGGGGACCAAAGGTACGAAAGCATGACCTGGAAAATATGTGAGTTTTCTACCACCAATTCACTGTTTCACTACGGTAACTCCTCTTTTAATTTCTTGGACTGGTTTGGTTTCGTGACTGCCATACTATCATGTTCATTCCATTAAGAATTTTACCACTAACATGCCACTTTTCTTATTGTTTGAAGGTATCAGGATCTTTAATGCACCAAGAGCTGCTTGCCGGCAAGATTAAATTCTGATTTATGAATGGTTAGCCTTTGCCTCAGACTTATATTAAACTTGCTTGTATTCATGAAGAACCTGGGAATGATGGATTCAACATGACGAAGAATAGAACTCAGCATGGAAGAGAGGTTAATGGTTGCTCCTAGGCCTTGTATTTGATCCAAGCATGAACTTCAATTTTTTCTCAAAATTGGCTGCTATATGCAGGGGTTGCCGTATGGTTTGACAGCAAGCTGCGATTTTGGTGGATACGTGAAGTTGTGAGGGTCATGTTTAACAACATTCTTTGCGGCTGTGTCATGATTAATTCTGCACAAAGTTGTTTATGCATATGCACTGCGGTTCAGGTTAACTATGGCGTGAAGATTTTGTTGCAATTTGATTTATGATATCATGATGAATCAGGACCTTTTCTATTAGATCATATTGCTGTCATCGATTTCTTCTAACCATCATGTGCTTTTTTTCCGAGAATGATCTGACTTGTTGATGCTTGATCTTGCAGCTCTTTGGGTCGACTTGCGGCTATTATGCGTGGATTTTGTAACAAAAGCAGGTTGGGTTGTACTGTGTGCAGGACCATGAAACGGTAGATCAGTGCGTTACATATTGCTGGATGATTTGGAATTAGGTTGGGGTTACGGCGAGTGTGCTGCAGCAAGTCGTAACTTGTTCTTTATGAATATGTCCTCTTTTTTTTACTGAATTTCGCGGTTGTTG